GCCTGCAGGTGGGCGGCTCAGACCCGGGGTCAACTCGCCACCCTCCCACCCATCACCCCAAGGATGAGTGAGGGGCAGTGGACTTCTGTTTCCAGGGGAATTCTGGGAAGGGGCTTCAGACCCTGAGCCCACGCCCAAGAATTCCTGTTGGCAACACAACGCGCACCGGCCCCTCCTGGAAGGCGGACAGGGCGCCAGGCATTCCTGTGCTCACCTGTGGGAGCTGCTGGGTCCCCAGGGAGCTGTGAGTTTGGGGAGGGGGGGTGTACAGTTGGGAGGGGCAGCAAGCCGAAGAGGTGGGTTCCCCAAACCACGCAGCCAGTGGAGTTGGGCAGCTCAGTCAGTCAGGAATGACACCCCCTCTCCCCCCGCAACTCACAGCTCCCCACGGAGGACTTCAGGAATTCATTCCCTAAATTCGTTCCCAGGAGAGGTCTGGCCCCTGACCTCAGGAGGGCCCCAAGCAGCTCCAGCCCAGTGACAACGGAGACAGTGTTTACTCCGAACAAAGCACCATGGGGAAATGAAGGCTGAATCAGAGCTGGGCTGGGCCGGCCCCGCAGCCGGGGGCTGGGGTGGGGCGTGGGGGCAGTAGGACATGTGCACACATCTAGGGGAGAAGCCGAGAAGGCCTGGCGGGGGCAGCAGGGAGGGAACAGTCCCTTCTTGTGAAGGTCCGAGTGCTGGAAGGCTTTCCGGAGGAGGTGGGATCCGAGTGGAGCTCTGAAGGATGGGGTGAGAATCAGTTAGGCTTCAGGGGGGTCTGGGGACTTATGTTGGGGGGGAGGGGGCCACCCCAGCTGAGGAAAGGAGAGGAGCAGGAAAGGGTCGGGGGTGTGGCTGGAGGACACGGGCAAAGCAGAGGCGCACACTCTAGGCCAGGTTGGGGCTGGGACTCCCTGAGCCTGGACTTTATTCAGGCAGAAGTCGGGGAGCTTCTGGAAATTAGGGAGCAAGAGAGTAGGCAATGGAGTGCCTAGGCTGGAGGTCTTGGGAAGATGGTTGTGATGGCCCTGGGGAGCCACACCGCTTGGGGGCGATGACAACAGGGACACCTGTGACTAGCGGGGCCCCAGTCCCTCCGAGTGCTCAGCCTGAGGGACAGGCAGGCACCACCAGGAGGCCAACGCAGGCAGTGGGGGAGGCGAAGGAGGGGGGAAAGCAGAAATAGAGGGGACTTATCAAATGACTGTCCCATTGGCCTCCTGTGGCCCTTGGAGTGGGCACCAGCCCTCTCTGGTCTGGCCCTTGTCAGGTGCAGAACACTATGGCCAGCAGAGGGCGATGGTGAGCCAGCATTCTGGGGACAGCTTCTCTCTGGAGGCAAACCCTTAAATTCCCTGTCACCTCACTCTGCCTCTATGTGAAATGAAAACAGGGAGCTTTGGGCCTCTTTCTTTTGCCAGCAATAAAACACTTATTGCATGTCGTTATTAAACGAACGTTTATTTACCATTACTGTATTCCAGACACTGAGGGGCTTTTATGACCCCGTGTGATAAAGTCAGTTACCCACCCACCTCGTTCACAGATGAATTTTTAGAGAGGCACAGAGACGTTAGGTGTCTGGACTAAGGTCACACAGCACACCACAGTAAGTGGCACACGTAGCAACACAACAGGACACCGTCCCTGCAGGCAGAGCCGGGCCAGAGCAGAATGTCCTGTTGAGCTTTGAAAAGAAAGAATCCAGCCCACAGCCGTAAGCCATCGTGGATATGTGTGTCCACCACAGTATGGCGGGGAGCGGGTAGAGGAGAACAGAGCTTGGCCTGGCTCCTCCCCCTCACCCGCGGCCTGGGCCGGGCTCAGTCAAGGCAGGGGTCCCAAGGCAGGATTCTCCATCGTGGCAGCAGCTGCCGCCTGAGGCTGCCTCTGGGTGTGGGGTCTCCACACCGGCGTGGGTCTGGTCCTGACTCAGCCCCAGGGTCCCGCGTGGCTTGGCCTCCCCACCCCTCTGAGCTCCCGCTGGCCTCTTTGTTGGACTCGCTGACCTCCCAGACCCTTCCAGCTGGGCCCTCGCAGGAGGCACAGACAATCAGCTTGTTCTTTGGTGAAAGGGCCGGGGCAGCGGCGGGCGCGTATGAAGACAGTTGGACTTTGCTGCTCTTGGGAAATCCCAGACAGAATGTGGCGTGGAATCCAGAGGGACCCACTGAGGACCCGCATGAGGTCCTCGGGCCTCGCTGCCCCCCACACGCCGGGGCACACACTCCCCTCCCTCTGCCAGAGGACGCATCGAACAGCAGATGCTGGCCCTGTCCACGACCCTCCTGCCTCTACACAAGAACAGCCTCCTGTCTGCTCTGTCCCGGGTCCCACTGTGCCCCCACCCCCACCCGCCCTCACCCATGAAGAATGCTGGGGCCCCCGGGAGCCATGGTGGATGCTGACAACGAGGGTCAGTGTTCTCGCCTGGGCTGGGACCACCCACCTCCAGGCCCTCCCCCTCCCCGTTTGCAGGAAGGAGCAGAGAAGGGCAGTTTTGTATCATGAAAAAACTGGGGGCCCGGAGGCAGGGTCCAGGGGCCCTGCGGTCCCCTCCCCATGAGCCTTACTCCCCCCCCGCCCCCCCGGGGGCTGTGGGCCAGCGGCTGGAGCAGCTCTTCTCAAATGCCTGCTCTGTGACATTTCAGGGATGTGGGTGGCGTTGCCAGACCCAACAAATAAAAACACAGAACACCTAGTTAAATATGAATTTTAGGTACACAACAAATAAATTCTAGTGTAAATAGATCCCAACTTTTGCACAGGACACAGTCATGGTGAAAATATTATCCATTCTTTGTGTGACATTCAGATACAACCGGGTGTCCTGCATTTTGTCTGGCAGCCCTAGCTCTGTGCCAGGTGGATGCCAGAGAGCCAGAGGGAATGATGCCAGCCTCCCGCCCTCCTCCTGCCCATCCCCGGGGCTCTGATGCCTGCCCGGTCCCTTTCCCTCAGCCCTCCCAGCTTCCCACGTCTACCCCACAAACTCCTCCATGCCCTCTCAGCACCCCCATTTCACTCCCCAGGGCATCCTCCTCCTCTGAACTCACCTCTCTTCCTCTCCTCTCAGGGCCTCGCCTCTGTGGGGCTCTGGGCCTGGCAGAGTGGCGGCGGGGGTGGTGGAGACACCCCCTCACCCAACCTTGGGTGCTGGCGCAGTGAGGCCAGGGCAGGGGTGGGAAGGCCTGAGGAGTCCACGCTGGCAATGACTTTGCCAAGGAGACAGCAGAACGGGCGCTCTGACCTAGGCCCCCCTTGGCAGAGAGGCAGGCTGGGTACAGAGCCACCTGCAGGAGGCGTGAGGGGAGAGGTGCCTCCTCCCCACGTACATTCCCCTCGCCAAGCTCAGAGTCACCAAGAACTGAGAACTGAGGAGGCATTCTGTAGGGCCAGACCCTAACTCCACTTAGATCAGGAGACCAGAAGATCCTGTCCTTAGGGGCCAGAAAGGGACAAGAAATGATGAGAAACAAGGACAGGGAAAGAGGAGAAAAAGAGAGAGACCGGGGAAAGATATACTGGCAGAGAAAGGCCAAAACATTGGTGAGAAAGACACACATACACATAGGTAGGAAATCAATGGAAACGGAGAAAGAAAAACAGAGTCCTCGGCTGAGACGAACGGACTAAGGAAGAAAGGAGAGACAGAGATGGGAAACAGAGGGGAACATGGAGAAATGGAGAGAAACTGAATGGAAACTGAAACAGGAAGATGGACTGGGAGGCCTGGGGAGCGGAGGAGAAGTGTAAACATTGAGCAGAGATAACAGGCCTGGGGGAGATGGGAAGCAGAGATAAAGAGGACAAGAAAAGGGGGCCAGAGGGGACCGGCTGTCCTTTCACGCGAACTTGGGGATAGCTTCCAGGGGAAAACCGGATTTGAGACGCAGCAGGAGACATCTCACAACTTAAGGACGGGCACGTCCTGGAGCCCTCCCCTTCCCCCAGGCCCAAGAGCAGCTCTCCACCCACCATCCGGGCTTCATCTCTCCAGCTCCCGCTCTGCTCCCACAGGTCCCATCCTGCGCCCATCACCTCCGAGACGGCACCCCACCCCGTTCATCAGCCAGCTCCCCAGGGTGGGAGCGTGAGAGACCCAGGTCCCAGGTCCCAGGTCCCAGCCCCGCGGCCCCTCGCTCCCGGGAAATCCGGGCTGGGCGATGCTGCCACCTGCCGGCGGGACCGGGGAAGCACCGCACGCCTCGAGGGCCGGGGCGTGGCCGCGGCGGGTGGGAATCCCGCCCCTCGGGGCTGGGGCGGCCCGCGCGGGGTCTCCCCAGGAATCCGGGCGGACCGGTTCGCCGGCGCCGAGCCTCCCCTGGCTGCCGCTCAGCCCCATTTCGGACCCGGAGGCAAATCTCCAAACTCTGGGGCCTTAACTGCCCCTGCGGTCAAAAAGAGGAAGTGCACGTAGGCAGATAGGGGTCACGGTTGTACCGGGGCGGTGCTCCTGGTTCTCCTGCCCCAGAAGTCAGCCGGGCCCCCTCCTCCTTCCTTCCTGGCAAAAAAAGAAAAAAGAAAAAGAAAGAGAGAAAGAAAGAAACAAAAATGGGGGGGGGGGAGCACTTTCCCCCATACAACAACCTGAATCCACTCCGGAACCTCCTTTCCCCCCACGCTCTGCCCCGCAGAAGGCCAGGGGCGAAGGGACTTCCAGGGGCCCCTCTGCCAGCATCCTGTCGCCCCCTGCCCGGCGCAGCATCCCCCCCCTTCAGCCTGGGCCCGCTTAGGGGGGCGGGCACTGGCTGGGAGTTGGGAAGGAGTAGCTTAGTAGCCTTGAACTGACCCCACAATTTTCCCCGATTAGTCTCATCTACTTCTCAACTAATCTCATCTGCTTCCCAATTACCGTCACCAACCCGGACCTCTCCCCTCTGCTTCCCGCCTCCTCCCCGCCCCAAGTCCGGCTGGGGAGGTGCAGAAGCCCCGCCCCGCCCCGCCCGAGGCGGGTCCCCATAGGTGGAGAGACGTGGGAGAAGTCGCGGCCCCGCCCCGCCCCGCCCCGCCCCTCCCGCCTCTCCCCTCCTCCCCGCCCCTCCTCCCCTCCCCTCCTCCCCTGACACACGGAAGCTCAGTGGCCCCACCGCCAGGATGTCGGTCGCCTGGGTCCGCCGCCTCTCCCCCGCCTTGCTGCTCGGCCTGCTGGCCGGCCTCCACCAGGTGAGCCTTCGGGAGGTAAAGCTTTGGAACTTTCAGGGTCCGGCCTTGGGGGGTCCCGGGCCTGCTCCCGGAGCCGGGTCACCACCTCCCATTGTTAGGGCTTCCTCGTGACCGCACGCAATGAGCCACTTCCTTTCTCGTTTTGCTGGGGAGGTGCAGGTGGGGCAGCCGAGGGAGGCCCTGGAAAGGCCGGGGCTCCTTCGCCTCCGGGGGGCTGTGTGGTGACTCTGACCCCCGCCCACCCCATCTGACACCTGGCACCTGTGCGCCTGGGGACTTTGACCCGCACCTTGGCCTTGGGTAGTCAGTCCTTCCCCGCTCCCCGGTGCGTCAGAGAGCGGGGACTGTCTGGGGCTGAGGTCTGGACGCCTGGCCAGCCTGTCTCCCAGCTCTGTTCCTCCAGGGCTGGGTGACCTTGGGGAGGCCCTGGCCGTCTCTGGACTCTGTGTTTGCTTGTCCTCCAGGGGAGAGCTGGCTCCTAGGCCCTTTCTAGGAGTGGGGGCAGAACCCCAGCCGCCTGGGGGGATTTGATCAGGCTGCTGACCCAAGGCTGGCTCTGTAATCTGTGATTCTGTGAGTGGGCAGCACGCCCTCCTCTCACACACCTTCTCTCACACACCCTTCTCACACACCCCTCTCTCACACACCCTCTCTCACACACTCCTCTCTCACAAACCCTCTCTCACACACCCTCTCACACACCCCTCTCTCACAAACCCTCTCTCACACCCCCTCTCTCACAAACCCTCTCTCACACACCCTCTCACACACCCCCTCTCTCACACCCCTCTCTCTCACACCCCCTCTCTCACACACACCTTCTCTCACACACCCTCTCACACCCTCTCTCACACTCCTCTCTCACACACCCCTCTCTCACACACCCTCTCACATACCCCTCTCACATCCCCCTCTCTCACATGCCCTCTCTCACACCCTCTCACACCCCCCTCTCTCACACACCCTCTCTCACACTCCTCTCTCTCACACCCCTCTCTCACACCCCCCTCTCTCACATACCCCTCTCTCACACCCCTCTCTCTCACCCCTCTCTCACACACCCTCTCACATACCTCTCTCTCTCACCCCTCTCTCTCACATACCCCTCTCTCACACCCCCTCTCTCACATACCCCTCTCTCACACCCCCTCTCTCACATACCCTCTCTCACACTCCTCTCTCACACACCCTCTCTCTCACACACCCTCACACACCCTCTCTCACAAACCCTTTCTCACACCCCCGTCTCTCACAAACCCTCTCTCACACCCCCTCTCACACACCCCTCTCTCTCACACACTCCTCTTTCACACACTCTCACACCCCCTCTCACATACCCCTCTCTCTCACACACCCTCTCTCTCACACCCCCCTCTCTCACACACCCCCTCTCACACCCCCTCTCTCACACCCTCTCACACCTTCTCTCATCCCAGGGATGGGGAAATGCTGCCCAGGTCTGGATGGGAGGCTCTGGAGACCTGTGTGCGTCTAGAAGACAGGTTTGAACCAGGCTGGCTTCGCTGACTTTCAGGGCCGCTCTGCCCCGAAGCCCTGGTTCTCCTCAGGCCCTAGGCCTCAGTCTGTGCCTCACCAGGCTGAGCATCCATCCTCTTGTTGGTTCCTCCCAACAGCTCAGAGGGCAGGTGCTGCCACTGTCCCCGACTCACCTGTACGTAAGGTGAGGCTGTGCTCTGGTTAACCACCGCGGGAGCCTCACAAGTGCACCTACACACACCTCGATGGTGTAGCCCAGTGGTCGGCAAACTGCGGCTCGCGAGCCGCATGCGGCTCTTTGGCCCCTTGAGTGTTCTAACGCCACTTCTTCAAAATAGACTCGCCCAGGCCAAAAACCGACTTTTCTGCATGGGCCACGAAGTTTCAACCGCACTGTGCATGCCCACCCGCACGTGGCATTTTGTGGAAGAGCCACACTCAAGGGGCCGAAGAGCCGCATGTGGCTCTCAAGCCGCGGTTTGCCGACCACTTACATAAACAATTTAAAAAACGGTACACCTTTGTGGGACATTAACCAGGAATGGAGCTTGCAGGACTGGAAGATGCTCTGCTGGCTATGGCATCACTAGACAACAGGAGTTTTCAGCTCCATTAGAATCTTACTGGAGGCCTGGTGCACGAGTAGGTTTGATCTGTGGGGCAATCAGTGGGGCGATCAGGGCACCCACTTGCACATGCCTTGGCTGACCTGGCGCTGCCCACTTGCCGGCCCTGTCCCCTACCACCACCAGTCGCCTCCCTCTTCGGGGCCACTCCCACTCACCTTGGCTGGCCTGGCACCACCCGCTGCCACCAAGTCAGGGCCTGCGGGCTGGGGGGCAGCTCCTGCATTGAGCATCTGCCCCCCTGGTGGTCAGTGCATGTCATAGCATCCAGTCGTTCCAGAGGTCATTCTGCTGTTTGGTTGATTTGCATATTAGGGTGATGATAGATAGATAGATAGATAGGTGGGACCATTGTTATCTATGTGGTCTATCATTGACCAAAACGTGCTTATGCAGCACATGACTGTAAGCTGAGATTCCCCAAGTTCATCCTGACACTTGATAGAACTCAGGCTCTGGACCACCTCAGACAAGACCCCCCCCCATCCCAGACCACCTCAGACTAGACCCCCCCCATCCCAGACCACCTCAGACTAGACCCCCCCCATCCCAGACCACCTCAGACAAGACCCCCCCCCTCCCCCCCATATATGGGGGAAGAGGATCTGAGAGAAGATCTCCTATCCCTCCCAAACAGGAACTCAGGGCAAACTTGGTAAGCTGTTCATATCTGTTCTGCTTACCTGGGGGCCAGCAGAGGGAGGAGGGGTAAGGCCTGGGATCTGAAGAGGAAGGGGCTGCCACTGAGTATCTGGACCCCTTGGTCTTTTCCCCACTCTGCCGTGGCCCCTCTGTGCTGTGTGGCCCTGCCCCTCCCTGGGCCCACTTGCCTCAGGGATTCACTGCTGCTCCGGTCCCCACTGTCCAACCGTGTGAGACGCTGATACACAGGACTGCACACACACGGGGCTGTCAGGGATGTTCTTAGCTCCACTGCTGTTGTCATTAGCAATTGTAATGTTACTGGACTATTTCCAGAAAAGGTCTAAAGATAGGATGGTCTCACCAAAGTTAACTTCTTTTTATTTTATTTTATTTTATTTTATTTTATTTTATTTTATTTTATTTTTATCTATTTCAGAGAGGAAGGGAGAGGGAGAGAGAGATAGAAATGTCAGTGATGAGAGAGCATCATTGATTGGCTGCCTCCTGCATGCTCCACACTAGGGATCGAGGCCCAAACCCAGGCATGTGCCCTTGACCAGAACTGAATCATGACCTTCTGGTTCACAGGGCCATGCTCAACCACTGAGCCATGCTGGCCAGACTTAACTTCTTTTAAAATATATATATATTTTATTGTGGTTTTTTTGTAGAGAGGAAGGGAGAGAGATAGAGAGTTAGAAGCATCGATCAGCTGCCTCCTGCACACTCCCTTCTGAAACCAAGGTACGTGCCCTTGACCGGAATTGAACCTGGGACCCTTTAGTCCGCAGGCCAACGCTCTATTCACTGAGCCAAACCGGTTAGGGCCGGCCTTACCTTCTTATTCTTGAGCCCTGGTTGTTTGTCCCTGGGAGGCTGGGGTGACATAACCTCCCATTCCCTGCTCTGTTCCCATCGCTGCATTCCTCCCCAAACCCGGTCTGGGAGCGGCCGGGAAGAAATGAAGCCAGGTGACCAACGAATGCTCTTTCATTCTGCCGATATTGTTGGGTTTTCAACAGTAACAAAACAGACCCAAACCCTCCCCCTGTGGAGTTTATGCTCTACCCAGGAACACACAATTAACAAGTTAAAGTCTCTCTCACACCCCCCTCTCTCACACACCCCCTCTCACACCCCCTCTCTCACACCCTCTCACACCTTCTCTCATCCCAGGGATGGGGAAATGCTGCCCAGGTCTGGATGGGAGGCTCTGGAGACCTGTGTGCGTCTAGAAGACAGGTTTGAACCAGGCTGGCTTCGCTGACTTTCAGGGCCGCTCTGCCCCGAAGCCCTGGTTCTCCTCAGGCCCTAGGCCTCAGTCTGTGCCTCACCAGGCTGAGCATCCATCCTCTTGTTGGTTCCTCCCAACAGCTCAGAGGGCAGTCTGTGCCTCACCAGGCTGAGCATCCATCCTCTTGTTCCATGTGGCATGTTCCATGTTGATAAGAGCTAATGCAGAAACGGGAAGTGCTGTGAGGGGAGGGGACTGCTTTGGGCCGGTGGTGTAACTTTTAAGTAAGTGGGTCAGGAAGGAAGGTGCTGGGGCAGCCTTGCAGATACCTGGGGAAAGAATGTCCCAAGCACTACACATCGTTGCTATGAATGGGATGGGATTCTGGACAGACCCCTGGCTGCCCCACAGAACTAGTGCAGGAGAGCTAGGGAGAGGGGCTGGCTCCAGAGAGCAGGGCCGGGCGGCTTCAGAGAGCTAGGAGCCCTGCCAGGCAGGGATCTGAGGGATGGATGGGGCTCAGCAGGCCACGAAGGCGTGGGGAAGAGGGTTGGCCTGCCCCTGCTTGTCGGGGTAAAGCAGCGGGGTGTGTGCAGGGAACTCCCAGTGGGTGTGTGCGCGAGATGGCAGAGGGCAGCTAAGGCTGGAGGCTGGGGGTCAGGGCCTTCCAGCCAGGTTGCCGGTCATCGGATTTTTGTGGGAAGGGACTCTGGTGGCAGCAGGAGAGTTTAGCATCCTGAACTGTAGATGTAAGAGGGCGTGAGCTTACAGACTTGGGGAGCAGCGAATGTGGTGGGGGGAGGGGGAGGAGGGCTGGGGGCCCCCAGCCGGCAGCCAGGGCCCCCATCATGGACCTGGGGGCATGGCGGAGTCAGGTGGAGAGCAGGCTACTCCATTGGGGACCTGGACAGCATCCAAGTTTATGGCCCTAACTTCTGCCTCTTTGCTTCCACAGGCTGCAGCCAGATGTGGCTCCTTGTAAGTCTGGGGTTTGGGCTATAACTTCCAAACTGGGGAGGAGGCACCCCACACCTGTCCTACCTGCCTTCATGGGAGGGAATGCCACATCCGTCACCCTCACCCTCTCCCTCTCCCCTTCAAACCAGAAACCACCCCACACACCCCTACCCAGAGAAGGAGACTGCCCCTCCGGCTCCCCACCAGCCACCCCGGGGCCGGGGGGGGGGGCTTCACACATGGGCATCCTGAAGCCGAGCCCCCCTCTTCCTTGCCACAGTCTCAGGCCCTCTCCCCTCTGAAGGGACCCCGGGAGTGGGGGACCTTTAGATAGAAATGCCGGGAAGCCTGAGTTCTGGAGAAGGCGGGTGGCCTACGGGCAGGAGAGTCAGCACCGCGCGTGGCAGGAACTCCGGCTCCTTCTCCCTCCTCCTCTGTGGGCTCTCGCTCCTCCTCTGTTAGCTCCTGGACACTCCCGCTTCCCCTCTCTCCACCTCCACTCTCAGTCCCTCCCCCCTGCCCACTGAGGTCGGCAGGACTCTCCTTACACCCATTTTGTAGATGAGGGAAGGGAGGCCCAGGAAGGAGCAGGGCCCAAGTGTACAAGGCCCGTAGTGAGATGTCCTTGGACCTTGGTTCTGATCCTCGGCCCAGGTTCCTCCCACCGAGCCCAGCAGGGGCCCCTGCCCTCACCCCACAAGGGGCATGGCTCGTGTTTGAGTGTCTGGGTGCGTTTGGGGGAGACTGGGTTCTTCGGCCTCCCCACCTTGGTAACAGCAGCCTCTCTCCACCCCACAAGTCTCTGCCCCGAAGGATTCGAATGCTGCGGGGACACCTGCTGCCGGGAGAACGGGCTCTTCTCCGGCCCCTTTAGGTGAGCCCGGGCCAGCGCCCCTGGGCACAGCCCTCCGAGGGGCCTGGTCCGCACAGGACAGGCTGGCCTTCCTGGCCTGGGGACGGGTGCAGGGCAGGGGAGGGAGGGAGGGAAGGAGGGAGGTGCGGCGGGGATGGCTGAGGCTCAGGATGATGACAGTGGTGGTTCCTCTCCCAGGGTCATCTTCATCATCTTCCTGGTCTTGATGCCCATCATGTGCATGTGCGGCCTGGCCAGGAGCTTCTGCCGGCACTGCAACGAGCAGGAGCCGGACCCCCTGGTGGATCGCATGAGGCCCCCAGTACAGCCCCCCATCGCCCCCACAGAGAGGGTCACCGTGGTGCCCATCCCCGAGCCCCCACCCTCCTACAGTGAGGTGGGTGTCCGTCCTGATTTCCGCCCGGCCCCGTGGCCTCCTGCACCTCCCCGCTGTCCGGCTCTCCGAGCAGCGCGGACGGCGGAGGCTCCTTACCCCGGCACTGGGCCACCCCGTCCCTGGTGCACGCGGATGGCAGTGCCAGCGCCAGGCCCTGAGCGGTCTCTGTGTCTGTCCCCGCCTTTCCCTGCAGATTATTCTGAAGCCGGACTTGGGCCTGCCCCCCATGGAGCCGCCCCCTCCCTACAGCCTCAGGCCTGAAGACCATCCTGGGGGCCCCGGAGGCATCGACAACCCAGCCTTCTGAGCCACCTCCTGCCGGGGATCCTGCCTTCGCCATCTCCTTCCCGACACCTCCTGGGTCAAGCCAGAGACGCCTGGGGCCCCCGAAACGCCCCCGCCTAGTCTGCTACCTCTCTGGATTTAACTTATTGCTTCTCCTGCCCCCGTCCCACCCCAGCTGACTCTCTCGTCCCAAAGGCTGGGCTGGAGCAACAGTGTCCAGACACGCACACACACGCACACCCAAGTTAGAGGCTGCCAAGAGGAAAGTGCGAGCAGGTGGAGGGGACTGGCAGGAGGATGGGCTGCTCTGAGGGGTGAGCACCCGCCTCTCAATGGGACAGCGGCTCTGAGATGTGAAGGACACTGTGGGCGTACCGAGGGCGTACCCAGGGGATCCCACCCCAGGAGCTCCGAGCCGGCTCCAGTTCTACCAGAATGGAGAAGACCCCACCCCAGGCACACATACTCACAAATTAGCTGCTGCTGCTGCTGAGCACCTGCCTCTGGCTATGTGTGCAGGTGAGCCCAGACTCTGCTGGGACAGTGTGTGTGTGGGGGGGGGAAGGGGGTGCCCCCCACACACACACACATTCTGCACCCCAAATCCCACCATTGAGTCTTCAGGGACCATGTTGACAAGAAGCCTAGGAAAGTACATCCGGGGGCTACGCTCCGGGAGAGGATCTTCACAGACGCTTTGGCTTCCCGCCCCGGGAGGTCTCTGCGTGCTACGGAGCCTGGACAGGCTGCCGGGGTGGAAGTGGCCGGTGGGCTTCCTTCCACACCCCGTCCTCCCGCTGCTGTCCTGGGGAGACCGAGCTCAGCTCCCTGACTCGCCATGGGGGAGGGGAACAAGGAGTCCCGCCATCTGTAGGGCTGGGCCTCCCAAGACCAGCCCCACCCTGGGATCTCCTGGAGGGCCGACCCACCCGTTTCTTCCAGTCCCTTCTGTGCTGTTAACCCTTCAGAGGAAAGCAGTGCCGCTCAGAGCGCCTGGGGCTGGGTCCCGGGGAGTCTGTAGCAGAGCACAGGGTTGGCGCAGGCAGAGTGAGCGAGAGCATGCTCCTCTGCACAAGGACCTTGCAGCCCAGGAGTGCTGGCCTTCCTCCCCCTACCCGCCCCCCTCCCCCCCCCCCCCCCCCGGGCCCGGCGGTAGTGCTGGCCAAGCTCCTGGCAGGCCCCGAGGTGGAACTGGCCCTGGTGTGTGGCCAGGACGGCTCCTCCAGGCCTCGCCTAGTCATGCCCAGCCTTGGGGCATCAGGACCCGGGCAGGGGCAGGACACAGCCGGCCCCCAAAAGGCCAGGAACAGGGGCTGAGCGGTGAGTTCCTGCTGGAGGCGGCCTCAGAGGGGGCGCAGTTGTAAGGAAGGTTTTTACTTTGTATGCTTTAGCGTTGTTTGTGTTTTTACCATGAGCAAGTATGGCTTTTACCAATGGAACAAAAGATTTCTTTCAAGGAATCATCGTTGGAAGTTAATAAAGACTCACCTTGTGAACTTTGATCGGCAGTAATTCATGTGTTATCAGCCCCGCTATGAGGAAGAGACTAGAAGGGCTCAGTCATGTGATGCACTCATGACATATATGTGGCCCAGGGAGTAGATACGCAATGAACATGGGAAAGCCTGGACGCCACCAGGCATGTGAGGGCATGTGAGGGTCGTTCATGAGACCTATACAGGCTTACTGGGCACGTAGTGTATATAGGATGTCTGGCTGGTTGGGTGGGTGGATCAGCAATTTCACAATGACTGAGAATTTCATGCCTCTTGCTTGGTTTAGCAGTTCAGACCCAATGAATGAATAATAAAAGGTGGAGTCACTTCGCCTGGCTGGCCCGTGGGGCTCAGTGGCTGAGCGTCTACCTGTGAATCAGGAGGTCACAATTTGATTCCAGGTCAGGACACATGCCTGGGTTTTAGGCTTGGTCTCCAGTAGGGGGTGTGCAGGAGGCAGCCGATGATACACTCTCATCATTGATGTTTCTATGTCTCCTCTTCCTCTCTGAAATCAATTTTTAAAAACATTTTAAAAAAAGAAAGAGGGATTCACTTAAATGAATGAGTGAATAAATGAACAGATGTGAAGATCTGCCATCAGACATTTGTAAAGATACTAGTACATACAGCCTGGTTAACACCAAAAAGGTGGTCCTTGCATCTGTGGACTTGAACGTCTGCAGGGAACCCCCCAGAGGACTGGGGAGTGCAAGAAAAGCTGTGCCCAGGGGCATGCTGGGTGATGGGGGAGGGCCTTAAGCTCCAGGGTCAGAGAAAGGGGGAGAAGGGAGCCCTTCGTGGTGGGAAGTTGGGAGGAGGACACCAAGAATCTAACCTCACCAGGGACTGAGCTTCAGAACTCCAGCTCCCAACATGCTCATTTCTGCCCCCAGCACCTCCTGTTTGCCCTGTTTGTCCCCTTCTCACTCAGGGAGGGCATTCCCCAAGTTGGGAGGGGAGAGAGTTCAAAGCACCTCTGACTCCACAGCCTTCCCTCCGTTCCGCCTCAGCCACACCTTCAGATGGATACACCTGATCTTGTCACTCCAATAACCTCAAACCTCCCACACCCTGACCATCAGCTCCCATTCTCCCAGTCCAGATACCGAACTAGTCCCATGCCAGTGACTCCCTAAGCCCAGGGAGACCTCCAAGCCACTGGCCTTAGCCCGGCAGCCCCCTCAGCCAGGTCCTTGGGCTTGCTTACCCAGCGTGGAGGCCTTGATCCAACCTGGTGATCACCACCCGGAGTTTCACTCCTTTACCCCTTTCTCCATCCATCGTCCTCACCTGGCAAAACCCCGAGCTCTGGTTGGAATCAACTTTTGCTCCAGAGCCAGCACACCCGGGCCATTGGACTCACCTCAAAATCAAAATGGTGACTCTCCAGAGGCCCCCCAACCTCCCCACCATGCTGTAGAAGCTGTGCTTCCTCTTGAGAGCCCGAGTCGTGCCTTCCACTCCCCTGGGCCTCCAACAATCCCGGCCTCAATTTCAGCTAGTGAAGGCACCACGTAAGTCAAAGAAAAAAATGACCGCTTTGGCTCAGTGGATAGAGCGGACTGAAGGGTCCCAGGTTCAATTCCGGTCAAGGGCATGTACCTTGGTTGCGGGCACATCCCCAGTAGGAGATGTGCAGGAGGCAGCTAATCGATGTTTCTCTCTCATCGATATTTCTAACTCTCTATCCCTCTCCCTTCCTCTCTGTAAAAAATCAATAAAATATATTTTAAAAATTGATGTAATCACGAGAGAACCACCCAACCCCCCCTGACTCCCTCTGACTCCCCCTGACACCCCCGACCCCCCAACCTCTGGAAGCTAAATCCCACACGGCCACTGGATTCCACTTCTTCAGTCCTTCTGAAGACCTCACTCCTGCGGGTGCTCCCACATTAGCCACCCCCCCACCCCCCCATTTATTGTCCCCTGGACATTAAGCTGCCTCGTAGCCCAGCTTCGAGAAGCCTTCCCTCAGCCTCTGAACGTGCGGTCCCACTTCCTCCTCCCCATCCGTGCTCCATCCGGCTCCCATCAGCTCTTCGTCTCTGTCATCACAGGAACTGGCTCTCATTCATATCATCGGTGACCTACATCTTGCTGAAGCCAAAGCTCAATTCTCTCGCCACATTTCCTATCTGTCAATGGCCTTTGGCATACTTGGCCCATGTCTGCTTTCCTGAGAACCTTTCCCGGGTGGACTTCCTGGTTCTCCTCCTCCTCAGGGCTGCTCCCCTCCCCGCTCCTCCTCCACCGCATCTCCCTGGCAGCTGCCCCGGAGGTGTCTTCCTTGGTCTTCATTCACTCCCACGGTGGGTCTCACCTGGTGCTGTGGCTTCATAGACCATCTCGAGCCTGTGGGTCTGGCCCAGACTTCGGCCCTGACCTCCAGACCTGTATATTTAACGTATATTTAACCACCTGTCACCTCCACTTGGATGCCTAACGGGCATTTCACAGCCAGCACTAGCCTTTAATTCCCCTCCACCCCACCCCACATCCACGCCTCCCCAAGTTGTCACATCATAAATACACGGCACCACCAGCCAGCCAGCTCGTTCCGGCCAGAACACTGACTTATTCTAATTTCTCTCTTTTCCTCGCCTCCTCATCCGGCCTCCAGAATAGACTCGTGTCTACGTTTCACCATTTCACAGACACAGCCCTGAAACTAACTTAGCCTAGGCGACCCTGAGGACATCCCCACTGATTTCCTGTCCCCACACTTGTCTCCTTCTGCCCCCTGAAGGTCATCCTCCGTACTGCAGCCAGGGAGGTCCCTGAAGCATAAAGAATACATGACATTCCCCTACTCAGAGGCCTCTGATGGCTGCCCATTGCACTCAGAATAAGCTCCAAACTCCTGACCTTGGTCTCCTCCCTTCTCACTGCATGCCAGGCACCGTGGCCTGCTCTCAGAGCCTGGGTTGCCTCAAGTCTCTCTGGTTCTGGGCTTTTGATGGCTTTTCTGCTTGGGAACCTCACCCACCCACTTCTGAGTGTTTACTTGGCTGACTTCCGATCTTTTCGAGTCCAGCTGCCACCTCCTCCAAGAAGCCCGCCCTGACCACCCTGCACAGAGCATCCTGCCAGCCCCACTCTGGGACCCGATGCTGTTTTGTGACCTTCACAGCACGTCCCCGAGCTGCAAATCGCCTTATTTACTTACACACTTACCTCTCACGGCCTGTTTTCTCTCTCCGGACCCACCCTCCTCCGGGATGGGGATTTTCCATTTCACTGTTGGGTTCAGAGTCAAGGACAATGCCTAGCACCTGGGAGGTGTCTCTGTTGACTCACTCCCAGCGGCCAGGGATAATGGCCAGGGGCACCTTGAAAGCCCAAAAGTTCCTGCAAGAGGAATGCCCGGGAAAGGAGTTCTTTGGCCCTGCCAACACCCCTCTCTGCCACCTGTGGATGCTGGCCCTCCATCCGAAAGGAGTTATTGGGCTCTTTCTTTCCCTCTTTCCCTTCCTTCCTTCCTCCCTTCTTCCTTCTTCCCTCCCTCCCTCCTTCCTTTCTTCTTCCTTCCTCCTTCCTCCCTCCCTCCTTCTTTCCTTCCTCCCTTCTTCCTCCCTTCCTCCTTTCCTTCCTTCCTTTTTCCTCCCTCCCTCCCTCTTTTCCACCCTTTCCTTTTTCCCCACTGAATACTCGGTGAGCACCTCTCACATGTCAGGGCCGGGGTAAAGATATTATTGCTGCCCCCATGGAAAGCAGACGCCAGTCAAACTAGCCACAGGTGAGTCTGTGGAAGATAAAATGCCCAGATCACGTTGGAGAACTGTGGTGGGGCCGGGGGCTGCTTTGGATTGAGTGGTCAGGTATGGTCTCTCTAAGGAGACAGTGACATGGAACTAGTTCCAGAAGCCAGAGAAGGAGGCAGACATGAAAGAACGGGGAGGAGAGTGCTCCTTGCCGGGGCCAGCCCGTGCAAAGGCCCTGAGGGTGAAAGGAGCTGGTGGCTCAGAAGCCTTAAAGGAGACGCCTCCCTGTTTCAACATCCCCAAGATCCTCGGCGAGCTGTCCGCGTTTCCTAGGGCTGTCAGCACAAATAGCCATAAGCTGGCGGACTTAGAACCACAGGAATCATTTCCTCACCGTTCTGGAGGCCGGGAGTCGGAATCAAGGTGTTGACAGGGTTGGTGCCTTCTGGAAACTGGAGGGCAATTCCATTCCCTGCCTCTCGTGGCTTCTGAGGGCTGCCCTCAGTGTTCCTTGGCTCATGGCTGCCTCGCTCTCTGCCTCCACCTTCCCACAACCTCCTTCTCCATGCCAGCGAGTTCTGAGGACGCTCTTCACTGGATGCAGGGCTCACCTGATCCAGGACGGTCTCACCTGCAGAGCCTTACCCCGGGTGCATCGACAAAGGCCCTTATTCCAAAGAGAGTCACGTTCTGAGGTCCTGGGTGGACATAGCTTTGGGGGGAGGAGGGGACACACAATGCAATCCACTACAGAGGTATTCTCATCTGAAACGGCATATCGCAAACAGCAGCATATCTTCGGATATTCTGGAAGGTGTTTTTGAGAGGGGGGAGAGGCATTCTGTGTTCGGGGAAACCTGGGAAAGGCTGCATGCACC